GAAGCCTGTCATGGTCCCTCTGGGTGCTATCCCTTCCCTCAGTGAATCAACTGCAGCACTCAGCACCACCACCCGCAGATTTGGCAGCTATACGCTCTAGCACACAGAATTTAAAGGGACACAGTCATATGCATGAGATTACACCTTTACAGAGTGAAATTCTCACGTTCTCTACGTAGAAGTTTCCACTTTGGCAGCTCGTGAGCAAACGGAGCAGACTGGGTAGGAATCACGGCCGTCACTGTCTCTGTTTGGTAGCAGCACTTCACCTGCAGCCAGTGTCACTGCCAGGGACTGCCCTCTCCTCATGCAGCAGCATGACACACCACCCATGCACGTTCTGGAGAGGGCAAACATGCAGCTGTTCCCAGGCTCGGCAGGAGGGTGCACACAGCCACAGCAAAGCTGAAACCAAAGAGGCCACAAGCAGGCATGTGCATACAGAGGATGGCAAGGAGAAGTTAAGGGGAATAGCTTCACTGCCTTTAATATTATTGTTCTGAATCCCACCAAACAGCCTTACAAACTTTGAGTAATGGAGCAATAATCAATGAGTTTTTTTAGAAAAAGGATTTCAATTCAGTTTTAAAATAGTGACAGTGTCCCTTTAAATATTAACTTCACTTTGATAATTTCAGGACTCTTCTGATTCTAATTGCAGCAGTAAGAAGCTATAGGTTTTTCAAGAGTAGATTTCACAAAACAGATCCTTGGCAATATGATGCTAAAAAAAAATAGGTGCTCATTTCTAGCAGTTACCTGATTCCCCTTATTATGTAAGGTTTTCAAACAATGAAAATTACCTGTCCAGAATATCAGTGTCATGTTACATATCCTATGAAAACCATATTAAATATTGATTAGTGAAACAGTCAGTAGTACACAAACCAGTCAAAGTCTTTCAATTCTTTGAAACTTTCGTAGTTAGAACACACCAGACAGCAGGAAAGGGGGGATGAGGGAAAACAAATACAAATCAAGGCTAGACACCAAATCCCAGTGAAACCAAGTAAGAAAAAAGTGCTTCAAAACAATCCATTATATATTATTAGCCAGATATAGTTAATCTTAACTTTCAAGTGTTCCAAATGGGTTCTGAAAAGAAAAATTCACTAAGGTCACTTTCCTTCTAGTCAGTAATGCCCCAAGTAGGATGGGAAAAACCACCAAGAAGTACTGGAATCTTGCTTCCTGAATAAAATGAAGCTAAAAATTAGCAATCAAGCATAAAAAAGGCTGAACAAATGTACTTTCTGAGAAAAAAGGGAGAGGGGGAGAAAGAGGAAGCATATTGTATTACTAAACTATTTTCACTAAGGGTGGCAGTTCACAAGTACTGTATTACTAAGAAGTGAGATTAAGAGACATACTGAGCTATTCTGCTCAATCATTTTGGAAAACACTCCATTTGCATAGACTTCACACAATGATCTGTCAAAGACTCGAGAGAACCTTTCTAGCAATATAAATCTGCAGAAGTAGGGGAGTAAAAGATGTTCCAGAAAACATCTACACCACAGGTGGTTACTACTTGCTGAATGCAAAGATACTCCGGTATTTCAGATATGCTGTTTAATTAAACTCACAGGATGTTTTACAGTGTGTTAAATTAAAGTTCCACCACCTACCTTTCTGTAACAGATGTACTCAGTCACAGGAAATATTTCATCAGAGTAACAGTAAAGAGCAGATGTGTAACCAATTACTGTTTTAGTCAGCTACAACAGAGAAACAGGACAACAAAGAGTGCACACACTGGCCTTTCCAGACTTAAAAACTCACTGCAGCAGTAACTAATTGTACTTGCCTACTTCTGCCCTTGAACACAGAACAAGAAGGCTGCTGAAAGGAAAGAATTCCTGGGGTATGCATGTTGCTGAAGCCAGGGAGAAAAGCTGTGCTCTGCTGTCAGAGCACAGACAGAACGGCTACAGTATTGCATTTCCTTTTTTGTTCATTCAAGACAACACACAAGTCTGTAAAGGGAAAGCACCAGGAAGATTCAGCAACATCTTCTCCAACATCTCCCTGCTCCATTTTCTTTAGAGTTTAGAAATAGCAACAGTTACTATTTAAATGATTGTGTTAAATGAAAAAAAAAAAAACCATATAATTTTAGTGTATTTGTGTGTGCTTAAACATCTTCATCTCATGTCTCCCATTTTCAAACATGGCTTAGAAGAAAATTTCTGTGTATCCTACATAAAACACAAAGACATTTTACAATAGTAATTATTGTCTAGCGCAGCATTAAAACCTTACAATACAAAGATGCCCATTAATGCAGGGGAATGTGTGGGTTTGGGGCTTTTTTTTCACAAAGCAGGGAGGGAAAACAGAAAGAGAGGAGAATTATTACAGTTATTAGGTTCTTAATTACATGGAACTCAGTTTGACAGCATTATTCATGAGTTAAGGGAATTTAAGTATCAACATATGCCACTACACTCTTTTATTAATATGCAAAGAAATCAAATTTAAAGGAGTAAAACTTCCATTTTGAGGTCTTCATTGAACAATTTGCTTCAGTGATGCTGTACATTCAAGTGCCATTAATTCAATGCAAGCTGCAAGACTACAGCACACCTGAGAAAGATGAGGCTAAACAGACTGCTTAGTAAGACTAGCTGTTTTGCTAAAGGTAAATATTTAGGAAACAAAACCATTCTGGATCATCAGAGATAATGCTAGAAACACTAATGAGAGTGCTCAAACCTTGTGAAATCCACTCAAGCACTATAACATTGATTTTTCTTTTTCTATATTTAGTGCAGCCTTCTTTCAAATGAAACTGCATGTTCCTCGAAATGCAGAAGGGAAAGCACGCATCCACCACTGAAGGTGACAACCTCCTTTCAACAGAAAGCAGAGTAAAGAAGCAGCACCAATAAATTTGAAGTATGTTATACAGCTGAAATCAAGGATAAAAATTTTAAAACATTAGTGAGTACCTACTCTAAGCAAGCTTCTAACACCAACATCCAAATGTAAGCCAGCCCAGTTTTGCAGCTAGCAAGCTTTGATCTTGCTAATTCAACTATGTCAGCAAATGCTGCAGTCACACCAAAATGCAGGGCTGACCCAGCCTGCCATACAGTCTGCTAAAGCAAAAAATGTTACTCTCACCACATTACCTAATACTAAACAACAATAATTAGCACACTTGGATTTATTTTTAATTTTTTTTTAAATATAGTAGAAACCTTCCTGGGTCCACTCATAATCACCAGAATAAGACCTATTTAGTGAAACTGCTGATGTCCTGAAAGCTTCCCTTGGAGACCCATGCCACCTGTGCTCACTGAGGGTGCTCATTGTTTCAACTAGTTTAAATGGTGCAAGGTACAATATAATCTTATGTTCAACACTAGTTAGTAACCTATCAGTATATATTGCACCTTCTTTTACTTAGAGGTATTGATGAACTGACTTTATTGAAGAGTTCAACAGACAGCATCAGGTCCTGCTAAATTACTTACAGCTAGTAACTCCTAAAATATGTTTGAAGGGTACTTTATTTCCTCAGCTGTTTCACAGACACTGCAGCTCCCATTTCTGTATTGGCAAATCCCTAACAGCCTAGAAGTAGCCTCCATGCAGGAACAGGGATGCAAATACAAGACCTGAGGGTGAGGAATCCTAAGGAAGTTTAAGAGCAAAGGCAATTTAACCAGGTCTTTGTCCAAGGAAGTACTGCACCACACTCAGAAGCCAGAATCTTATTCTGCTAGTCCCTAAACAAATAATATTTGTGTACTTGTTATGGATGTATTAATTAATTGCTATTATGGTCTTATTCAAGCAGAGTGGCCTCTAGTATCACTGCTCTTCATCTGGGAATATATTATTGGCCAGTAAACTAAAATCTTTTTTTATTTTTAAGACTTGAACAAAAGCAAATAATTTTGACTCTAACTGTAATATATCTAGCAAGCTCTTCAGAAGCACCAACAAATAATCTCTGTACAGCACATTCTTGAAGCATTACCTCATGTGGTCGAGCACAGAGAACTACAGAACCTACCAACAGTCCATGTAAGAGCACTGCGAGCACCCAGCCTACCATCTTGAACACCAAGCCTAAAAATAGCCAGCACATATTGCTTGCAGATGAGAAAATACAAATCACTCTGGCTCGCAAGAAGACCATCCTGATTCCTGTCCACTCCTCAGACATCATTCACAGAGCAGTAACCAACTCTCCTCCAAAGGGCTTTGAAGGCTTGGCCTCCAAAAAAAGCCCCTCACCCTGGCTTTCACCTCACAAGACACCCTACTAGTCTTAGCTCCAAGACTTAAAATTCCATGACATAAAATGATCCTAATCTCATCTCAAATTTATAGAATGTAATACCACTTAATTCCTCCTCACTTGGCACATACTAGTTCTGGCTTGCAATTTCAGGATTTCATAGAAGTAAGATCTTCTCGTAAGCCATTATCACCACACTCACAGTATTTGCCTTGTGACTGTACTAACAAACTTAAGCACTTCAAACATGCATGCTTCAAACAAGTCCTGAATTAAAAAACAGATGGTGGAAGGGCCTGTCTATATTAAAGAGGCAGTCTCATCTTAAAATCTTTAGATTTAACATGATAAACCTAGTTCAGGGACAAACATACACATAAAAAACTGGCATTAAAAAGACAATCAACATTACAGTTGGCCTCTGCCTTAAATGCTAATGTTTGGTGCCAACACCTTTTCTTAAAATAATTGCCCAAGTCCACAACACACAAAGCGACATCTAAAGCTATTACGAGACAGGTTAGAGCTGACACCACACACAAAGATTATCTAATCTAAACTACTCATTAGAAAACATACTTGTGGGTTCTTGGGGTTACCAGCTCTCATTCAAAAACATCAGAAATGCCAACAGCAGACTTGCTTGGAAAGCAGTTTCAGAAATTTGCTCAAGGAAAATGATGCAGTTGTGATGTTGTAAAATGGGTGCCTGAAGAACAGAGGTTTGTATCATGTCAAGGTGTACTCAATGACACTGAATCACTTTGAAGAAGCTGTTCCACCAGTTCCTTACGTAAGCCTTCCATGACTTTACTGTTACAGAAAGCCCACTTTAACAGCAATAACAAAATAAATTTGACAAGCTGGACAAGAGAGATAAAAACACACACAGAAGTTTCTCTTTTCTCACAAACACCATGACATCCTTGAGCCACACATCAACACAACTCGAAAGTTTTCCTCGTCTTTGCATAAGGAATGCAACCTAAGATCCACTCAACCCCTGAATACATTTAAGCATATCTATTCTTCCCTCAAACTTATTTTCACAGGGTTTTAGCTCAGAAAAGGAGACAACTACTGAAGATGGCTCTTTGCAGACAACTTTTATCCATCTTGGACACTTCCATGTCATCCTCCCACTACTGAAGGCCAGATTCACCCCATGCCACCACAAAGGGCGCTCCCCTCATCTTTTAGCTGTGCCCCACTTCAGAAATTTGGGAGTTTCATGTTTACCCCGTTTGTACAGGTGTCAGAGGATCTGAACTCCACCTGTGAACAACCGGGGCTCTAGGCTTGGCCTGTCCTTAGCACAGGCAGCAGCACACGAGCAAAGTTAGCAGAGGAGTCTCCTGAGCAGCACCCTCGGCTTCCCTACCCGCAGACCTGGGACCATCCCTACAGCCTCGCGCTGCCAGCGCTCCAAAACCGCGACACACAGAAGAGGAAGGACAGCTTGTTTTCGCTGATTTCGGGTTTTTATAGGAGAACGTGCAAGTCATTTCACGCGGAAATAAAGCAGAATAGAACGGGCAGGGAGGGGGTGCCCGGGCAGGAGCCCCGGTTTGCGCCGCGGGCCTGGGCGGCGGCGGCGGCACCGCGCAGGTACCGCCGCGATGGTGCCACCGCCGCTGCCCGGAGCCCGCCCGGACGCCCGCACCCCTCAGCCCCTCGGGCGGCCGCGAAGATGGCGGAGGGTCCGCGCCCCGCTGCCCCCGCACTCACCTGTCAGCCACAGCCGCGGCGGCGGGCGGGGAGGGGCAGGGCCGCAGGCGGCGCGGAGAAGGAGGAGGGGAAGGATGAGGACAACGAGGAGGAGAAGGCGGGAGGGGCAGCAGCGGAGGCAGCAGCAGCAGCGGCGATGATCGCGGCGCCGCTCGGGCAGGACGCGCCTCCCCGGTGCCGAGCCCTCGCGGCGACATCCGGCGGAAGCGGCGCGGCCCCCGCTCCGAGCCGCGATGGCGACGGGCTGGCAACGGGACAGCCTCCCGCCCGGCACGGCCCGCGGGCTCGGAACGCCCCGGCCGCAGGGAGAGCCTCCCGCCCGGCACGGCCCGCGGGCTCGGAACGCCCCGGTCACAGGGAGAGCCCCGCGGGCTCGGGAGTGCCGCCGGGCCGGGCGGGAGCTGCCCCGCCACCACCGCCCCGCTCGGCCCCGCTGCCGCAGGGAGAGCCTCCCGCCCGGCACGGCCCGCGGGCTCGGAACGCCCCGGGCACAGGGAGAGCCCCGCGGGCTCGGGAGTGCCGCCGGGCCGGGCGGGAGCTGCCCCGCCACCACCGCCCCGCTCGGCCCCGCTGCTCCCCGGGTCACCGCCGTGCCGGAGGTTAAACAGCGCGGTGTGTTCCGTGCCGAGCGGGCCCCTCGGGGTAAGGCTGTGTCAGCTTACCGTTACTGTTACCGAACTGAAACTGCCGCTGCTGCTTTGGTTAGTTACCTCCAGTAACGCTGGATCAAGGGGACTGACAAGGGAGATGAAACTTTGCGGGAACACGACTGGAATTCCATATTTTTTTTTTAATACAGAAGGGCTGGGAGATACCGATTGTGGAGTTTTTGTCTGCAGACGGAGTGACGGAGGCAGCGCATCAAAGCTAACCACGACGTTCTGCAAGTAGGCTGTTCACTCTGAAGCCTACAACGCGTAATTGAAATGTGATTAATTCCCCTGCTGATTAGCACTTGGAATAAACCTCCACCTAAAATTCTTATTCATTGTAGCAGATAGTGAAAGTCAGAAGAGGCCTTCGCCTAATTATTTTCTCTCTTCCAGCAGATTATCTTAACTGCCTTAGAAGAGGTCTGTAAAAAGGCCAGAAGAACATGTGCCAGTGAGAGCTGGAAATATTACATTTTCTTTTAATGTGCTTCCCAACTACAAATGTGCCTGCAGTTCTCATTTGTCTTTTTTTTCTTTCTACTCGCTTCTGTGCAGTCATGTCTTAAAGCTGTATTAAACAGCAACAAAAATAGTGGTTTACCTGTTTACTAGCATATTGCTCATTACTGGAGGTCATTCTCCAAAATCACCAGCCTAACTGGTTGAGAACATCCTGTAATTTAGCCTATTCCCTTCTTCAAAACCACTAAAAGAGAGCAAACTAAATAGCTAAATGGCTTCAAGGAGTGGAAAAGAGGGGAGACTGAACAGGCAAAAGGAGAAGGACAAGAGATGGAACAGAGGTGCCCAGGAGGAAGCTGAGCACAACCTGACCAAATGCCCCAGTTCGATGCTTTGAATTCTCTTTGGAGTTGGTGCAGTTGTGGGCGGCTCAGCCATCTTGGCCAAGTGACAATTCGAGTTCTCAGCTGTTCAGTTTCTAACTAGGCGTTTTTAAGCCTCATAATCCCTACCAAAATTACTTTACGCTAATATAACAGTACTGTACTGTTACAATTTTAGCTCTATGTGTGAAGGAAAAAAATGTCCAGCAGGAGTACAAAGATTCACATCAGAGATTTCCTGGGGAGAACACCTGGCAGCTTCTCCTCTGGAGCAGCACACTCCCCAGGAGCAGAGTGCATTACAGAGATGACCATTTTTTTTATCTGAAGAAATGCAAAATACTGAAATGAGGAAAGATGAGTTTAAACATTTTTCCTTGGTACAGGGTGCCTCACCTGAAAATGAACAGGCCCTGTTTGGATGCTGTTGCTTTTTCATGAGAAGAGAATGACAAGTGGCCTGTTGTAACTCTAGCTCTGCTGCTGGTTTGGTTTTGTCATGGCACTGCAAGAGTAGCAGGCACAGTGTAATGTGTAGGAGCAAGTACAGAACAAAAGACTGCTTTTCACAAACTACCTGATACAAAACGAGACATAAATAGCAATACAGGAGCCTAGGGAAACAGGGCAGTACTAGTCAGCATCTTTTCAATACCTAAGAAGGTTTTTCAATAAGCATACAGTAAATAGAGTGGAAAAATTAGGTTGTCGTGGACAAATCTACTTCTGCACCCTTGGCTGGACTAGAAAAGACAAGATAGGAGGCTTGGGAAATCAGCAACACAACAGAACAATAGCTGAACCTCCCAAATGAGCATTTTTCAAACATGTAAATGTAGCAAGAAAAGGCAAAGCCTTCTGTCCAGAGCTCAAGCCAAAAGAAATAAAAACAAAACCAAACCAACCAACCAAAAAAATTTAAGGGAGAAAAGGACTCAAGAGTTATTTCTTGATTCATGTAGGAAACCTTCTAATAACTCCTTCCTAGAAGAATGGTTTCCTATACCACTATTCATTCACCTTATGCTGTATAAAAACATTTGGAAGCCATCCATCACAGCACTCTTTCCATCAGCTTGAGATAGCAGAACGAAATGCAAATACAACATCCTACTTAGATATTTAGCATATATGTATTACATTCTTACTACAAAGACATCTGTCTTCTCTGAAGCGAGCTGAAGCCAACCCACTTCCCTGAAAGAGGCCTTTTAAGAACAGTCAAGGGAACAGGAGATTAGTTAAGACTGGGAAGAATTTACCTCATTTCAGATAAAACCCAGGTTGTTTTTCGCTCAGCACATGACTGGATCATTTAGACAAATATTTTCTGAAGAGCTACAGCTCTAGGCCGGAAAGAACTCACAAGAGAAATTCTCTAGGGAGACCAGGAACAAGGATAGCTCTGTAGCTGAGAAGGGTGAAGTGGAAGTCTTAGACATCAGAGCAAGTTAACAGGTAGCTGAAAAAGAAGTTTGGATGTGAAGGGGGGAAAGAAGCCCATTAATTTTCCTTGGCAAATCTGAAAACTGAGGATAAGCATTTTTCAGGATTTTATGCATTCTAGGCTGGGGTCCAATCCCAGGTTTGTTCAGCATTTATTTCATCTTGTAGCTTGTGATCGTCTTGTTTAACTTGCTGGAGAATTGAAAGGTTCTTCTTCAGTTTGGTGGGAATTGCCCTTCTCTTTCTCTTAGTAGGCACCAAACTATGTCAGGGGTTTGCAACTGGTTGAATTTTCAGGTGAATGAAAGACTTTTCAGTTGTTACAGGAAACTGTCTTTCCCTTGGTAGCCGAGTGTTTGAAAACAGTCAGGGGACTTCAGGAGATACAAAAATTAAGTCTCAAAAGCATTTGTATGTCACTTCAGGCATTCTGTTTATGCAGGGTGCAGTAGAAGTTCTGAGGTTACAGTGAAGTGCATACCATTACAAAAATTAGCATGCTTTATTTTCAACACAGAGAGCTTTGAAGGCGAAGAGCAAGTCTGGAGGGGAGCAAAAGGAAAGAAGATACAGGTGACATAAAACCTGGTATCTGGTTAAGGGCTTGGGAAGTCTCTCCCTTGTTTGTTTTGTGAAAATGGTTTGGTTTGTCCCTGTCATCCTTTGTCTCTGCTTCTTTGCCTCTCATTATCCCCCAGGACTTATTGCTATTTCTTGCTGCTCACCAGCATTGACTCAGGTGAAGTGCTTTGTTTGTCTGTGCAAGACAGGAGCTGTAATTGTTTCTGACTGTCAGGTTCTGAAGTGCCTGTATAGAAGTTTTCAGTAGTTATTGCTAGGAAGAAAAGCCTCTTTTCTCTACCATGTATAAGCACGTTTTTCCTGGTTTCCCTCAGCTGTGCAGCCTGAAGGTCACTGTGTACACCTGCTGATGTCCCATGCCAGCTGTGCCCCAGGCACAGACACATCTCTGCCTCCCAGGGGAGTATTTCTATTCTAAAAGAGCTTCACTTGCAGAAGAGCTGCTTGTTAATTCTGTTGTCATCATATGAAATCCTGGTTTCTATGTCCATCTCAGTAGTTATTTTTTTGATAGATCTGTGTAGCTTGTTTTGTTACTTTAGGAAAATGATAGAAGAAAAAATTACAGTTTTGGTTTTTGTTTGTTTGTTTGTTTTAATCTGGAACAATGAAACAAGCAAGTGATTCATGTGGTGAAGGATGTTCTCAGTATATCTATGAAGATATATCAGTATATCTCAGTCTCCAATTACTGTTCTTTTGTGCCAGTGACTCAGCAGTAAGTAATCTGTAAAGTAATGAAAAGTAAACTCAATAAAAAGCAATCTGTGTACATTTCTGTCCTTTCTGAAAGTACATATTTATTATCAACAGTCCTGTGATAACATTAAATGTGTAGTTTATTAATGAATAACACAACATTAATAGATAATGTTATGTTTTATGTAGTTAAAAGGATATGTAGCAGCCAACACATTGTTACAGTCTTCTTTTTTTAATTTTTTTTTTTAACTTTTGATGCTCTGCTGGTTTCAAGTGGCTTTCACTCAAATCACCTCCACTCTTCTTTCTTTCAGCAAGCTCTGCAGAGGGGAATGCTGTGAGATAACCCACCCCACAACCCCCTCCACTGTAAAATATTAACTGTCCATTTAGACATTTGTGCTGTTAATGATATCTCTCAGTGACAGGCCATCTGTCCTGTTCACAGGAAAAATCAAGCAAACCAGAGTGAAATGCTGGAACTTGAGCTGAGAGGAAATCAGAGCAAGCCGTGCCTCCAAGACATGTTAAATGTCATTTCTAGGCTTTTTATGGCATCCAGTCATAAACCCAAATCTGTGGACGAGCAATAAACCAGCAAAACTCTTGCTGAGGAGGTATTTAGCCATGGCGGTGTGAAGTTTCTAGAAGCTGGTATTGAAGTTTTTCTAGTTTGTTATCTGTGCATACCAAAACTGCCCTATCTGACCAGTTTATCTTGACATCCCGCCTGTGCTCCGCTGCTGCCCGGGATGTTTGTTTGCTGCTTTCTCTGCCCTCGAGAGCTCACTGAGTCGGGCAATTCCAGAGCTTGGCTAGCTCGGGAACTGCCTCCCAGCAGCGGCAGCTGCCAGCGCAGGAGGAGTCAGCATTCCCCCGCTCCCGCTGCCACAGATCCGTGCGGCACATGCCGAGCCTCCTCAGCTCGAAGGATCAAAGAAAAAGCATCCAGGATGGAATGTGCAAAAGCCCTGCTACTCTGCAGTCCGGGCTTACGGCCGCCCTGGAACACTCGCAGAACCGAGCAGAAATTCGCTGCTGGAGCTGCTTGCCACAAGCACCGGCACATTTGTAGCAGCCGGCGCTTGGGCACAGCCCTTCGGTTTTCGTGGGCGGGTGAAAAGGCCATAAGCAGCGCTGAATGTCAGAAATATTCAATCTTTAGACGTTGGAATGTGCTGCCCAGGGAGGAGGTGGAGTCACAGTCCCTGGAGGTGTTTGAGCAAAGTGTGGATGCGGCACTCAGTGCCATGGTTGAGATGGTACTGTCGGGTCATGGGCTGGGCTCGATGACCTCAGAGGCCTTTTACAGCCTCGCTGATTCTGTGATTCCCGTCAGAAGCCAAAAGCTTCTCCCTGCTCAGGGAGCCCGACCGAGCCCCGACCCTCTCCGGTGCCGGCTGTGGGCACGGCCGCACGCCGCGCCCTCCCGCGCCCATTGGCCAGCTCGCCGCCGCTCCCTGTTCCTATTGGCCAGCGCCGCTCCGGGGCTGTGTCGCGATTGGCCGCGCCCTCCGCTTCCCCCACCTGGCACCGCTGGCACCGCCCCCCGCGCCGCAGTGGCGCGATCGGGCGATGTGGTGACGTCAGCGCCGGGCGGCGTCGCCATTGGCGGGCGGGGTGTGACGAGCGATGTGGCGCGCGCTGCTCCGGGCCGGGAGCGCGGCCCCTCGGAGCGGCCCCGGCGTGAGGGGAGAGCGGCGGGGGCCGAGCGCACGGACAGCGAGGTGAGCGGGGCACGGGGAGAGCGGGCACCCTGCCCCTCAGCCCCGCCGAGGCGCACCCAGAACGCTGTGTCCGCCTCTGGACTGCTCCGTACCCGAGAGACGAGGAGCTCCCGGAGCGGGTCTGCCGGAAGGCAGCGAAGGTCACGAAGGGGCTGGCGCATCTCCTGGCTGAGGGAGCTGGCTCTGCTCAGCCTCGAGGAGAGACATCGTTAATATCTATAAATATCAGTGGGAGGGTGCCGGGGGATGGTCCTCATTGCTGAGCAGTAAGACAAGGGGCAGGAGCTG